AAAAAATAAAAATAAAATGAGGTAGTTTGAGATTAATACAAATGCTTTCATATGGAGAATGAAAGCACAGGAGTCAAAGACCTCTACCATGAGGCATAACTTGAAGTTAGTGATGATGAGGAAAGGTAAGCCAACTAACTCAATGTGCCAACCAACTGTATTCAATTGTGCAAATATAACTTAAAATATCTATTTTGGGGGAGCCTGGGTGGCTCAGTCAGTTAAACATCTGCCTTCGGCTCAGGTCATGACCCCAGAGTGCTGGAATGGAGTCTCACATCAAGTTCTTTGCTCAACGGGGAGCCTGCTTCTCCCTCTGCCCCTCCCCCCGCTCCTGCTTTCTCTCTCTCTCTCTCTCTCTCTCTGACAAATAAATAAAATAAAATAAAATAAAATAATAGTTTAAAATGTATTGACAATTTAAATAAAAATTGTATCTTATCTATATTATATTTCTATTTTTCAAACTTGAAATGTTATTAAGCAAAACTTCTAAAGTAAATGTTTAGCTTTCTTACAACTGGCTCCTACTGTTTCCTAAGTGACTGAATTTAAGTAAATACTAAACATTATAGCACACTTACTAGAAACACACAAGCCAATAAATTCTAGTCACTTTATTTAAATTCTGAAGTTGCATATAAAAGATTAAATGTTTCCCATGGTTGTTTTCTAATTATTATTCTTAAAAAAACTGAATAAAGACAGGTTTAGAATAGTATGAGTTGATTTTGCTTTGTTCTCTATTACCTTGAGTGAAAATTATTAAATTACTCATTTTTATTTTTAATATATCTGAGCCAATATTTTATACCACTGATCTGTACCATTATCATACCCCTTCTATGTAGATTCTTAAAACTGGGTATGAAAAACACTGCAGTAGGGTAAGGAAAGAAAAAATTAGAACATCTGTTTATGATTATCTCATCCTCTAGAAATTTCTCATCTTGTATTTTATATAGAAGTGTGAATGTGTGTTATTTAAATCACATATGACTGTAATAGTACATGTAAAGAAGTTATAAATAGATAAGTTATTCTTCTTACTATGGGTAAAAAAAAAAAAACTGCAATTGATAGACGGGTACTTTCAAAGAGTCAAAGAGTCCAAAGACTTCATGCATAAGCATGTTCGAAGGCAGAATTAAGAATTGAAATACTGGTCTTGGGATACCTGGGTGGCTCAGTCGTTTAGACAGCTGCCTTCAGCTCAAGTCACGATCCCAGGGTCTTGGGATCGAGTCCCGCATCAGGCTCTCTGCTCAGCAGGGAGTCTGCTTCTCCCTCTCCCTCTGCCTCTCCCCCTGCTTGTGCGCTCCAGTTCTCTCACTCTCTCTCTGACAAATAAATAAATAAAATCTTTTTTTAAAAAAATGAAATACTGGGGGGCGCCTGGGTGGCTCAGTTGGTTAAGCGACTGCCTTCAGCTCAGGTCATGATCCCAGAGTCCTGGGATCGAGTCCCGCATCGGGCTACCTACTCTGCGGGGAGCCTGCTTCTCCCTCTCCCACTCCCCCTGCTTGTGTTCCCTCTCTCGCTGTGTCTCTCTCTGTCAAATAAATAAATAAAATCTTTAAAAAAAAAAAAAAAAGAAATACTGGTCCTGTATTGTATCATGTTAGCTTTTCAATGTTTGGCAATTTTTCCTTTAAATAGATTTAACACTGGATACAACAATAAACCTGGACAGAAAGCTAGGAAAACTTCACATGTAAATCACCTATTTACCTTTAAAATGGACCCTAAATGAGCCTCGACAGTATAAACCTGAGAACACAATACATTGTATAAATTCAGCTTATGTCAAATAAAGGAATCAAACAAGGATATGAAGTACAGTGTTAGAAGTCCAGTTCACAGGAGGAAATGCTTCTTTGGAAGTCCTTCCAAAAGCAAATATCACTTGGTTGGCAGAACTTATTATTTAAGAGGAAATTCTAAGAATATGAAAATTTGTGATTTGTACAGTATGTAATCTAATAACACCTAAAACAAGATTACAACTTGCTTTCTTTGGGGTAAATACCTAGTAGTGCAACTGCTGAGTCATAGGGTAACTCTATTTTTAACATCTTGAGGAACCTCCATACTGTACCAACTTGCATTCCCACCAACAGTGTAAGAGGGTTCCCCTTTCTCTGCATCCTCGCCAACATTTATGGTTTCCTGTCTTGTTAATTTTAGCCACTCTGACCAGTGTGAAGTGCTATCTCATTGTGATTTTTATTTACATATATATATATATATACACACACATAGATACACACACAATGGAATATTACTCAGCCATCAGAAAAGATGAATACTTACCATTTACATCGACATGGTTGGAACTGCAGGGTATTATGCTGAGCGAAATAAGTCAATCAGAGAAAGACAATTATCATATGGTTTCACTCATATGTGGAATATAAGAAACAGCACAGAGGATCAGAGGGGAAGGGAGGAAAAACTGAGTGGGAAGTCATTAGAGAGGGAGAAAAACCATGAGAGACTTGTAACTATAGGAAACAAACTGAGGGTTGCTGGAGGGAAGGTGGGTGGGGGATGGGGTAACTGGGTGATGGGCATTAAGGAGGGCACATGATGTGATGAGCACTGGGTGATATACGTAACTGATGAATTACTGAACTCTGCATCTGAAACTAATGATGTTCTATATGTTGGCTAATTGAATTTAAATTTTTTTTAAAAAGGCCTTTTACACCCATATTTTCAAAAGATTCTCCAAATTTAGAGAGTGATCAAAAAGGTTATTTGATTATATTTACAGCTATCAATTCAAAGAGGAAACAGTGGACCAAAATATCTCCTAGGCCATCCTACAAATGATTGGGAAAAGGCCAATGTTCAGGGGTAAATAGAAGACAAAGTTAAATTGAATACTCAGAAAAAAGGCTTTTGTTAACGTACATTACATTAATAAATAACATAAATTATGATTTAAAAAAGAAATAATATCACACTGATTTTTTTAATCATAGGGTAAATGTTCAAGAAATTCCATTTTATTTGGAAATAGAAATATCCAAAGATACATTGTTCCCTTTCGCAAAAGAAAAATTGTTATCAACTGTTGGAACTTGATAGAAAATAGAAAAAGGAAAGCAAAAAAAACAAAAACAAAAACAAAAACAAAAACTCTCTCCTTTGATTCGAGCAAGTAGCAAGTCAAAATGCATCTAAAAGAAAAAAGAATCTTTTTTTGCTGTTTAAAATAAAAACTGAAAGTGAAGTAGGCAAGTGAAGACGTTTTTATGAGGAATAAATATGCATCTGATAGCTCAAAAAGGTGAAAATGAAAATGCAATCAGTTCTCTAATGAATTAATAGGTACAGCTGGGACTCTCGTGTTACTTTATATGAAATAGCTAATGAGCAGAAGAGAAGTTGCCAAAAACAGGGCAGTCAGCACATTCCAGAAACTCACTTGCTTTTTAAAAGGCATTATAAATAGCACATGGCTGTTTCTTCAAAATCAACGTATTTTCCTTTTCCTTCTACATTTAGAAGAAATTGTTAGGGTTTTATTTTTTTTTTCTATCTAGAGAAATAATGGTAACACAGAAAGCTTAAAACTACACATTTTATACATCATATTTGCACATGTTTTTACTTTTCTTAATTTGTATTGCTTTTAAAGAGCTCTTTTGTCCATCCCAGGAGAATGACACTTCTAAGACCCACTTCATTAACAAATGTGGGAGTCACACTCAGATGTTGGCAGGATCCGGTAAGTAATTTAAGAGAGCAGAGTTCATTCTCTGGCATACAGGGAGTAGGTTCCCCGTTGAAGAGTAACTCTTCTTGGCTTCAGTTGTTTGCAGACATGTGGGAATAAAGACATGATATTGCTTGATTATTGAGTTTTCAAAGTGTTATCCAACTCTTTACTTAGAACCTTCTGACTTTTAAATGTTGACCCCTAAGTCAAACAATTTCAAATATTAGGAAGCCTTAGTAAAATATGTGTTGTGGCAGATGACTTGAATTAGTTATAAGGCTAGTACTATAGTACTTCCTTAGTGGCAAATCCTGAGCTCATCCCTGGTTCCTTAGCTGAGTGACCCCTAAGTGAGAGACTCATGACCATAACTAGTCCAAACACACTCTCTGCTATGAATTTGAAATATAATAAGACATACTCTTTTGGGGGTGGGGGTGTGTAACAAATCATCTTATAAGGCAGCAACAAAAATATTAAGGTTCAATAACTCTAGGGGAGCATTGATTTCTAACCCTCTTCAAACTTTTTAGGTGACTCCAGTAGTTCTTCTCATAAATATAGTTTCATTATTTTCCCCCTTGGATAGCCAGAGTTGAGTTTGTTGCTTGAATGGAAAACAAAACAAAACACAACAGATCAACAAGAAAACCTTAATTAAGATGAAAATCAATCTTTTTCTTTTCATCCAACTCCTTCCCTCTACTCAAATGGTTTTCAGCTGGGTTTCTAGGGGTGTTTAGATGGAAGGATCAATATTTTTGGTTGTCAATGTAATTAGGGGAGGCAGGTGCCATTGATATTCAGTGTTTTAGGGGGTGGGGTTTGCAGAAATCCCAAGAATGATAAATATCCTGAAACAAGAGGCCCAGTTCTATACATAAAGATTTGTATCTTTCAAACACCAAAAGAAATACTGCTTCAATTTTTTCTAGAAGATTCCAAGAGGTGTGCCATGATGCACCTAAACTCAATCATGTTATTTGAATCCAAGATGTCAACTTGAAGCTTTTCATTTGTCTTCACAAACTTGCCCTTGTTTTCAAGTGTTTACAATATGCAAGAAGTTAATATTAAGTATCCTGGAATACTTTCCTTAGAAGGAAAAATAAAACATAGATAGTCTCAAGAATCTTACACCCAGAGTTTATGCTGTCTCCCTATTGCCTGCCAGCTCATACAGAACGAAATCCTCTATATCACCTCTTTCTCTCTTATGTCATCACTTAAGAGAACCATGAAACTTTTCTCACTGTTCATTACCATTTCTGAAATCCCCACTAAAAGAAAATCGAAATTTCCCCCCAAATGGCCTCCACCTGCGATTTAGGTAGGTAGTTAATAATTTTTACTGCTAAAAGAGCATAAAAACCATCTCCATTAGAGAAAGTATTTAATACATGTACATATAGAAATTTATATATATGTATATATATTTATACACACACACACATTTTGGTTCAGAGCTTGTTGGAAGCCTTGAAGAGTGTGTAGAATTTGTGAGAAGTGTCTTATAGATGTTTAGTAGTTTGCATTGTGTGAACTCATTGATAAAGCTAAGTAAACCAAGAATCATTTGCTCTTCTTTCTTATTCAAATTAAGCTGCTTTCTTCAAATCTACCAATCCCATCTTCTGTAGCAGGCCTGGTGAACATGTTTATTGAACATCTGCCATATGCCTGAAAACACCTTTGAATTACAGGAGCTATTGGTCATCAATAGAACCATAGCGCTATGATAGTCACAAATGCACTGATGATGGAATATTTTTAGCATGGTTTTAAGAGGTGGGGAGAATATTTTAGGAGAGCAGACCTTGATGTTATCAAATATTTTGTAATTTTGGGGGGCACCTGGGTGGCTCAGTCGGTTAAGCATCTGCCTTCAGCTCAGGTCATGATCCCAGGGTCCTAGGATCTAGACCCATGTTGGGCTCCATGCTCAGCAGGGAGTCTGCTTCTTTTCCCTCTGCCTCTTCCTCTCCCCTCCCCCACTTATGCTCTCTCTCTAGCCCTCTCAAATAAATACAGTCTTTAAAAAATATATATTTTTTAGTATTTCTCTTCTTTATTACCATTGTACCGTGAATATTTGTTTATTTAGAAAATTGCAACTTTCCTAGATTGTGAGCTGCACAGGGCAATCAGCTTATACCTCCATGTCTAGGCAACTTGCTTAGCACATAGTAAGTACTTAATAAATGCTTATGAATGAACATATGGAAAATAATTCTAAATTATTATTTTAATCAACTTTATAATTCAATGACTTCCCAGGTTTTCATTTTTTTCTTTCTAATTTTTATTTAAATTCTATTTAGTTAACATACAGTGCAATATTGATTTCAGGAGTAAAATTCAATGATTCATCACTTATATACAACACTCAGTGCCCATCATATCAAGTGCTCTCCTTAATACCCATCACCCATCTAGCCCATCCCCCACCTACCTACATCACCCGTTGGTTTATTCTCTGTCTTTAAGAGTCTCTTAATGGTTTGTTTCCCTCTCTCTTTTTTATTTCCCCCTCCTGTATGTTCATCTGTTTTGTTTCTTAAATTCCACATATGAGTGAAATCATATGGTATTTGTCTTTGTCTGATTCACTTATTTCACTTAGCATAATATTCTCTAGCTCCATCCACGTCATTGCAGATGGCAAGATTTCATTCTTTTGATGGCTGAGTAATATTTCATTGTATATATATACCACATCTTTATCCGTTCAGCAGTCAATGAACGTTTGGGCTCTCTTCATAGTTTGGCTATTGTTGATAATGCCGCTATAAACATCAGGGTGCATGTACCCCTTCAAATCTGTATTTTTGTATCCTTTGGATAAATACCTAGTAGCGCAATTGCTGGATTGTAGGGTAATTCTATGTTTAACCTTTTGCAGAACCTCCATACTGTTTTCCAGAGTGGCTGCACCAGTTTGCAATCCCACCAACAATGCAAGAGGATTCCCCTTTCTCTGCATCCTTGCCTGCATCTGTTGCTTCTTTTTTTTTTTTTAATCTTAGCTATTCTGAAAGATGTGAGGTGGTATCTCATTGTGATTTTGATTTGTATTTCTCTGATGATGCGTGATGTTGAGCATTTTTCATGTGTCTGTTAGCCATTTGGATGTCTTCTTTGGAAAAGTGTCTATTCATGTCTGCTGCCCGTGTCTTAACCAGATTATTTGCTTTTTGGATGTTAAGTTTGATAAGTTCTTTATAAATTTTGGATACTAACCCTTTAACAGATACATCATTTGCAAATATCTTCTCCCATTCTATTGGCATTTAGTTTTGTTGATTGTTTTATCTTGATGATGACTTCCCAAGATTTTCTACTATACTTGGAGCACTGGGAAAATGACTATGTCTGGCAACTGTATCTTTCACAGAAAGAAAAGAACACAGGAGAGAAAGGAAGAGAAGAGAAGAGAAGAGAAGAGAAGAGAAGAGAAGAGAAGAGAGAGGAGAGGAGAGGAGAGGAGAGGGGAGGAGAAGAGAAGAGAAGAGAGAAGAGAAAGAGGGCAGAGAGAAACTTGACTTCCCATTCTTTAATTAGTTAATTTAATTAATTGAAGTAGTTCTGTAAGACTGTGCCTAGGGCACTCATGACATCTCATTCCTTAGCTTAGCAAAATTGACAGCCAGAACTAGGCTGTGATGAATGCATGGAGGGAAATTCATTTCTTAAAGACAGGATGATTTGTTGCACTTGATGTAAAATTCTTTTTAAAATTCTAAAATTTCTAAGCGAAAACCTGAGGTAAGCCCAGAATTATGGGAACACAGTTTACAGGAGATTCCTACACTTTTAACCAGAATCCAAAACATGATGTGCCCACTTGGGATATGGGTTACCATCTGTTACCAAAGATTATCTGTAGTACAAGGCACTGCTAAGGAGTGGGAAGCAGCAGGTAGTTTGGAGACAGATAAAATTAGACTGCTTCCTGACTTTGTCACTTACAATGTACAGAAAATCTTCTTAATGTTGCAGAGCTTAGTTTACACATTTTTAAATATACTAATGATTATAACATCTATCTCAAGTGATTTCTATACTGAAAGACTGAAAAGTGCTTTGCCAGGTGGCTGACACACAACAGGTGTTCAAATACATTAATTCTCTTCCCCCATTGAAGTCAGGACAGAATCTGCGTATCCACTTGCTGTACGTTTTTTTAATTCAACAAAACTCTTGAGGACCACTCTGACAGGTATTATGGGAGATAAAGGGATGAAACAGATAACGGCTGTGGCCTTCAAGAACCTTAACAATTTGTGATGGGAACCAATTGCAGCATCTATAACTTAGAGAGAAGGTGAGCCATAATGAGTTCAATGCTAAGGTGCAGGAGGCTGATGGAGAGTGAGATTAATCTACGCTAGTTGAGTCTCCAAAGGTTTCTCTGAGAATATGTAGGGCATACGTAGCCTAAAGCTTTGCATCTTATATTAAGGTTTCCCTGGCAAGTGCAATCACTAGGGAAATTTCCCCTTTTTACTTTATTGTTTCATGTGTGGTAGACTTAACTCACTTACTGGACCAAAAAAAAAAAAAAATCCTGAAGTTAGTGACTTCATCACAGTGGCAAGGCTAGTGTTGATTTCCACCATGGTGTCATAAGTGGGGAGAAAAACAAGCAAATAGGTTTGGAATAAAAGACCAGAGATATGTAATCTTGTTCATCATCAGGATGTTTTTTAATCTATATCATGTGCTCATCTCACCGATTCCAACAGTTGGTAGGACGAGTGAACAGGGTAGTATCTATAGGACAGCATCCTAACTGTCAACTGTCAAACACCATAAAAATGAAAGTTATTTTTATTATGAGTGGAGCTCTACTAGTAACTGTTGATGGATTAAAACTTGTAATTACACTGCTTAGAAAAGGATTTTCCATTCTCTAAGTGAATCACTGAGATGTTTCATTGAGGGCATCTGAATGAATTTTTAACTCCTTGTTTAAAATCAGTCAACCATACAACTCATATATCCAAACAATTCCTAGAGTTTATTGGACATAATAATATTCTCATATTAGTGTTGATAATATCTCAACTTTTGCTGTAGTAAAATGA